GCAAATTGCAGCAAACCGGCAATTTTTCTCCTGAATCGAGCGTGTAATTCACGGAGACGACGGGTGGACTTGCGGCGATATCGTCGTCGCGTGCTATCACGAAAGATTTTCTATTCCTGGATGCTCCCCAGGTATTTATAGCCCCGACGTCGGGCGTCTCTATGTAGAGGACGGCAAGCACGCGGCGGCGTAACGACCATAGGAAAGCGAGATCTTACGTGAAAGCAGTTAAGGCCATTTTCGAGCTGGCGCCTGCAGACCGGAGAGAAACCGAGAACGGCGAGGATCCACCGACGCGCCTCGTAAAGGTCGTGGAAATGTCAATAAACGAGCACCAGCAAGGACGTTGCGGATCGTACGCCACGAAGACGCGTTTTACGCGTTTTCGCGAACGATCGCGTCGCGCGGTGGACCGGAATATTATTAATTTATTGCCGAGTCACTACTCGAGCATGTCACGCGAAAAAATTCGTGAAATGTCTTCGTAAGTATACTAATTGACGTGCTAAATTTTTATTTGACGCGTCGCATAATTTTTCTTGGGAGAAAATTTTTGTCCGAAGACCCCCTAACCTTTTCTTCGAGGAATTCATCGGTGATCGGAGAAGCGTAGAATTAATTTCGCAATTTATTTTTTAATTACGAGGTAAATATGCACGCAAGAATTAGGTAAAGAAGAAAAAGGAAACGAATGTTGGGGAATCGACTGCGAGAGCTAGAAAAATTACTGTACTCGGTGTTTTCTTTAAGTTAAGATATTTAGAATAGTACTAGAGCACGGATGTTGGGAGGTTGCATAACCTAACCAGAAAGGTAGGCACTTCCTGAAATATTTATATGTCAACTAGATTAGCGAATGGTGATATGGAGAACGTATACAAAACGTTACTGTAACGAAACTACTTTTATATCTTGCAATTGTTTATAAGAATCCAAAACGAGAGTGAAAATGAAGACGTTGAAAAAAGATGTTGAGAAGATTCTAGAACTACAAGCGGCTTGTACAATATTAACAAGGAAGCAATGATGGCTCCCGAGTGTGTCACATATTTTGCTACATGCGATACTACGTTTGGTTACGAAATATTTGTATTTCTTAATTTGTCAGAGAGGTATTTTAAGCTGAAGGAAGATGAAAATAACTCGACGCCATACAGAAATACTAGAAACATTACCAATTGAATATTTTTTCTACGCGTGGTTCGCGCTAAGGTCAGGCAACTATTTTTGTCGCGCAGCAAATGATTTAGCGCGAATGCGGCGTCGACGTTCATCGCTTCGTATGACATTTATTAATACCTGCAATTATTAATATTTTACGGAGAATATTCCATCGTACATTGCCGACTGCGCATATTCCGAAGACCGTGTAATCTGAGTTTCAGACACTTTTAGTGCACTCTTCCGAAAATATGAAATTGTCCCTTAATCGTTACGCTCAAGGGGATGCTGAACTTAGCACAATGAATTCAAATAAAACTATACCATTTCCGACTCACCTCTTTCAGTATTTATCTATTAATTTCAGAAAAAGAAAGCTACTCCATCGTTTATTAATTGCGACTAATCTAGGCTTTTTTCCCCAGAGAAATTTCACCTACCCTTTACGCAAGCGTAAACATTTCCGCTTGGTCTCTAAACGCGATTGAAATTCAAAGGGCTTGTTTGCTCTTGTTGCGACAGGAGAAACGCGCGGATTCGTTCTTGGAAACGCAGAAACATGCACGCACATTATTCATTCGTGTCTTCGTGCACCGTGGCTTCTTTTATTTGTTGACAACGAGCTGATTTGCGTTTCGCGCGCTTGCGGGTATCGACGCGTCGATACCGTTCGATTATTTAATCAAGCGATTGCGGCCGTTTCTTGTCCCATTCCTGGAACTTCCGGTCGGTCTTCGGACTCGTTTATTGAATAAACTCGTCTTCGGGATCATAACATTTGCAGAACGTTTGTTGTATAACATTTAGTTTACAATTCGCGCAGTGATGTCACTGGGATAAATTGACGGTTTTTCCTGTCCGTAGTTTAAGCTGTTTGTACAGAAAATTAACGTAAACCGTTTAAATAATAAATACAGTGACGAACATGTGACACGGAGTGATTCGCAGTACGAGATTAGTAGATCTGAGAAATGTCATTGTAAATGTCTGATAGCTACTACAATTTAACTTAATCGTTTTACGTTCAGGTGGAATGAGGAAAAACTTCGGTGTCGTCGATAACAAAATAGTGTTAGGTACATGTCTGAAGTATTGATATGTGTTGTTGCTAATCGTCACTTTGAATAAATAATCAAATGAATAATAGAAGATTTTGTGATGAAGAAATTGTTATGGAGTTCGAGCAGTGTCCAGTATAATTCATTATAGAATATAATAATGTATTTTAAATTTAAATTCATTCTTCCATTGGGTTATTTTATAAAATAATGTCATTTAAAGTTTTCATTTTATATTATAAAAAAATAAGGATTAAACAAAAACAATGAAAAATGTGAGTAAAAAAAAAACATTTTCGTATAACATATATAAGTAAAATGAAAACCTAAATATATGCAAAAATTAAGAAAATTAATTGAAGAGGAAATTAGTAGTAGTCTTTACATTGCAAAACAACACAAGTGTGTCAATGTTTATGTCTAATGTTACTACTACTTCGTCATTGAATAGATCGATGTACTCTGTCCTATACTTAAACGTGAAAGAAAGTTACATGATGGGAAAAATCAAATGTTTGCAATATTTCTCACGTTCTCAACTATTCGTTTCCCGAATCGCTCCGTGCCAATACTCGCGCTCCGTATGCGCTGTCACGCGGCTATTATTCAAAGACTCAAAGTTAACATTACCGTGGTTAGTTAAAGTATCTATACGGTAACACATCAGCACGTCGTACACGTACGCGATGATAATTCGCTCGCATTGAAACACTATCGTGCCGTTTCGACGTAAGCGACAACTGGAACGAAAATCCCGTGGCGTTGTTCCACGTAACGCGCCGCGTCGTTACGACTAAAATCGATGTATCGACGACCTTATTTCCTTAAAACGTACAAGCAAGCATTGACCGAGCACCATTTCTGTGCTAGCGGGTTTTACGTGCTCCGGTACTGTGATTCACGTAACCGTACGCTCCGAGGGGACAGAATCAGGACAGTTTCTGCCTCGACGCGCGTAGGGCAAGTAAGCTCGAGTCGATATAAAAATATCCCGTAAGAGGAAGTAATTTAAAGAAGCTGGAGGCAAATGATTCCCTGTCGAACACAAATGACAGTTTAGTCGCTGTATTAGATACGCGTTCATCTCGCGATGAACGGAGTGGCTGGACGTTTCGGTCTCAGATAGAATTCATGGTTCGTTCCACCATACCGTAAACTTGCAAAATTCGCGCCGTTGTTCGTGATTTGGATGTCAGAAAAGTATCGCACGCTGTCCTGTACCCGGCGAACTTTCGACACGCGTGCGCTCGAGAGGCGCGTTCCAAGATAGTGGAGCGTGCCTTCTAGACAGTTTACATAGTCGGCGTGCCATGTAAGACGAAGATATATTGCGATATTGCGACCATTGGATCGTTGTGCAACATTCAACTTTCGACTCCATGTGCCGCGTTCTCGATTTAGAGACCGGCTGCATCGGGGGAGGAGCAGGCCGCGAGTCCTTGGACGGGGATTCTGCGAACGCATGCGCCAAAACCGAGAAAAACCGATTACGTTTGGGTTTTCCTGCCCGTACGCGGCTGGACCATTTTTTCCTGCACGCCTTGGTCAGCAAAGATTAGAAAGATCGGGTGATATCGCGGTAACTCAATTATCAACCGCAGATAGACGTTTGTGCTCGAGTCAAATCACTTTGGTTGCTTCTCGAGACTTTGTCAACATCTTTTTAACCCTTAAATGCCTTAAGTTTCAAATTTGATACCAGACGTTTGAATCGAATTGTAATTTTAAGATAATTTTGGAGCTTTAAGCTCTTAGAGAATGGAGTTAATGAACGAAAATTGATTCTCTGTTGAAATAACTGAAAATCATGTTTAATCCTGTCACGAGAAGAGTAAGAATGCAGTCTCCTCGATCCTCTGCGCGCGAGGAACCATTTTACATGGTTTTTTCAGTGTTCGTGACAACGAGACGATAACGTCGCGCCAAAGAGCAACCCGACAAAGGGACAAAGTGCAGATAGCGCGAGCAGAGGTGTTCCCGCGAATGAAACAGAGAGAGTATAAATAAAAGACAGGTAAAGACACGGCGCCTGTTGAACTTGTTGTTAGGGCCCCATGCCGTGTGATAAATCTGTTCAACCTGTCGAGGATGGGCAAAATACTTATCTAGATAAGAACGTCGAATAACGAATGGGAGATAAACTACTCGGTACTGTTCCTTTGTTCCCTCGGTATCAGCTCCCACTCGAATGATATCCCAAGTTCGACGAATAAAAATTTGCACCAGTAACATTTCAATCAAATTAATCGCTGTTCAGAGTCTTCATTTTTGATTTATTGTTTAGATAAAATTACTTACAAAACGAAAGTACTTTACATTAAACGAATAAAAGTTTGTCCGAATAATTGACCATTCGTTACTCCAAATCATTTATTATTCAAGTATAATTCTGTCCATTTTAATAAAGTCTATTCAGCTTGCTAGAGTGAATACCCGTTCAGTCGAATAAATCACCGCACAGAGCTTTATTTGTCAGCTGTTACTCGAACAAATCGTCTACCCATCTCCATCAGGTTTGCGCAATCTGTCAGACTACTCCAGCGCGCCACGATCTACAAAATCTGAGCCCTATTCCACGCTGACTAAAAAACGGCCCGTCTTTGTACCTGTTCAGTCGAATAAATCGCCCCACGGAGTTTCTGTTCGTCGCCCATTATTCCAATTAAATTCCGCCCATCCTACGTCCGACCTGTCAGAGTCGCCGACGGGTAATCGGCGAACCCGCTCGGACAGGGAACGCCGGAGAACGTGGACGTTGAAAACGAACCATCGTGTACTCACTTGACCAGGATCCTCCAGAAGCAGCCGAAGCTGGAGCCGTTTGGCACTTCGCTCGCGTACGATATAGTCATTTCCTGCCTGACCAGGTGTACAACGTCGTTCCACGCCGCGTTTCTATCTTCTTCTTCCTCGTTTTCGGTTTCTACCGTCGACTCTTCTTATCGTTCGGTTTACCTCGCACCGTGCAGTTGGTGTTTCCGGTGGAGAAGCTGCACACTCGCGCACATGCGGCGCGCGGGCCGCTGAATTTGTCTCCACTCCTTGATGATCGAGGCTCGATTACCAGGTCCTATATCATCGGGTGGATAATCACGATCGGCTTACCATCAGGAAGCTCTCGAACACCGTATAGACGGAACCAGCTGACCGGACCGACCGACTGTCTGCTGACTGAGCTCCACTGACAGACGACAGGACCAACAGGGAACGGGGCCCGGCTGCCACCTCCACCTGGGCCTCAGTGCCGTTCTCACCTGCTCGATAACCCCGCTCCTTCGAGAGCCACCAGTCGCGATACCTCCGCGTTTCCTTTCTTTTCGGTTGCCTCTTCGATCCGATCGAGCGTGGCGAATATTTTCACCGAAATTATATTCGATGATTTCTGGTAAGCGAGCCCTCTCCCTGGATTTAAATACAGCGTGTAGAAAAATCGCGAAACTGCAAGGGCAAACCTGCTTATCTAATCTATACAATATTTATGATAAAGAAAAGTCTTGAATACGTTATGTCTACGTAGTAAAAAAGTTGCGTAGATACAGAATAACATTGGAAACCGTCTCACTTAGAATTTAACCTGGCTTTGAATACGTGATACTTTTTACCAGATGGTCGGTTTTTATAATATTTAAATTTCCGATGTGACTCACGAAGATTTGAATACTCTCGGATGTTGTTCCGTCGCCATACTCTTGACCAGTTTTTCATCCACTCTAAAATTTGATTAATGTTGTCTCATGCAATGTGACATACCCTTGTTTTATTTTGTTATTCAATGATACATATAGATAACTGCAGAGTACCGAAGCACAGCACAGTCGAAATACGAACAAACATTTAAACAACGTTTGCCTTGATATTTCCATAAATGGAATTTGTTCCGATAATAATCAATATTTACGGTTAATTAAAATTCCAATGTTCAAATATTCCTCGAAAGCCTCCAAATTATTTTGGAACCTCCCCTTCCAAACTCAATTCCGCGAACACCTCGTTGCCGGACGAAAATTTTCTGAATTCATGCATGCACAATTATTTACATTCACACATAATTCTTCGCGAACTATCCACCTGGTTAATTGAAAGGCCCAGAGATCTGGCGAAGTCCCAAACCTGCGCGCGCGCATCGATTCGAAGAAGAGATTTGCGCGACACGACAACGGGCCGCGAATTCTTTGATAATTAATGACACGCCTCGCCTTTCAAATGGGATCTGCTTTCGAGCCGAGTAAAAGGAGAGCGTTTCTGACGTCGCGTATGCGTCTTCCCCGATATATAAACCCTCTAACAACGATTTCCACACGCGCAGGTACTCGTTACGGCTACAAATTGCCGCCCTCGACTGGTTAATCGTTCTTTTATTATCCTTCCGCCGTCCTACGTGCAGCAATTTCTGCCGTTAACCCACCAATTGCTCGATAACTACCGAATCCTTGAGGCTACGCAGTGATTTCGCAATGGCGCCTTTTATTCCTAGAATCGAGACGCCTCCAGAGGGTCGTTTCTCGGAAGAAGAGTTCTTACGGCACTGCCGGCGTCGGGATGCCGTAACACCGTGGCTATATCGCCTTACCTGACGATTTTAACGCGACATCTCGTGGTCTTTTTCTGTACTGTTCTCTCACCTTGCCGCGGCCTAGCCTGCGGCGGAATTGCGACCTTCTGGTACCATCCACCGGTCACCTTTCGCCATTTTTGCGCGCACCCTGAGGGGGAAGACGCGCCCGTCGACGTAACTTTCTGACGCACCTGCGATATTATGGCGTTAATTTCATTGTGCACCGAGAAAGAGAGTCTCTTGTTAGGTTCGCAATATTATCGCCATTCTCTTTTGGTAGGAAATGTTTAGAAATAAACTTTCAACTGCTGTTTGGAATAATTTTTGACTTTCACATTTTTTACATTACGTTTAATCAAATACTGTAGGTTCATGTGGTCCTCTTTGAGATATTGCAGCGTTGTTTTTAAATAGTTTCATCTTTCTCTTCTTTTCGTTTCGTGGTAGAACGCGAAGGAGACCTTAAACTGCCGCCATTTTGGTGCTCCTCAAATTTTTCAAAAGGAATCCATTAGGGGGTAGTCCGTTGGAATTAAAGCTCGGGTACCTCGGGGTTGCTAGACCCGTTCTGCAGCAATCAACCATGGCTACAGCCCCTGAGGGCGCATTTGTATAAATATAAGATTTGGAGCACGAACACTAGACACAACCAAACTATAATTTTCACTTAAGAATGAATTGTTTCTATTGAAGATACTTCTGTTTATCTTATTGTTAGACCAGATATTCCAAAATCTTTACTTGAATGATAAATATAAAGAACCTCAAGTTTAAGTCAATCTTCTAATAAATTTTGAACAACCAAAATGGCGTAAACCTCAGTAAAAACCTACCACACATTTATATCACAAGCAACAACAACCAACATGGGTTCATTGACATAAAAAACAACAGTGTCCAAAGTTCCGCATGGAAGCTCCGCAAGAAAACCGCAGGACACACTGTTTCGAGAACTCGATATCATGGATTGATCGAAAAAAGAAACCCAAACGATATCCGTCGAGTTCCTTTTCGCCGAAGCGCTCCTTCCACGAAAGTCCAAGGACGACTTTCCACGTTTATGTAGGTCATCTCGGGGAGATTCTTCTGCATCTGTTTCAAAGATCACGGAGATGGGTCATTGACGTCATCGACTGGTCGAAGCCCAGCATCCGAGTGATTCACAGGTGAAAAGTAAAAGAGTCTACCAGGCTTCGTCATCGCACGTGTTTACCTCGTGCATCGAGGCTGGCTTCCAAACGACCGCAACCATTAATTCAAGGAAGTTGCCGCAACGTTTCTTCGTCAGGACAATCGAGCCAAGCGTAACGAGAGACAAAGCCTGGCTAAAGGGACCGGTGCACGCGTTTAAGCATCGTACGACAAGATATATATATATATATTTTTTTTAAAAAACACTTTCTACAAGACAAACACGACGAACGGTACACTTTTGGAAGAGATAATGGCGGATCGATCACGTTTTAAGGTCCTTTTGCACGTTGTACACGGTGTTTGCTGATGTTTGGAACAATTTCTTTTCGAATTCGGTGATGCGCATTCGCACGATGTTGGTGACACCGTTCTCACCGATGGTACAGGGCAGTGATAAAAACGTCTCGTGACAGACGTCGTGGTGACCCTGGGAACGAAACGTTCGTTTTTAGTTTAATTTTAATCACTCGTAATAAAGGAAATGTAGCTGACAACGAGCATTGAAGATTCAGAGGGATTCATTTGCAAACCATGAAAATTGTACTGGCGTGAGAATACGCAGAGGTCATGTTTACACTGCGCAGGATTTTCCTGACGAACGGAATAATAAAAAAATAAAAAAAAAAAGACGTCGAATACCACCTTTCGCAGGATGTAAATTTAGCTGCCCAGTTGCGAAATTCCTGCGCAGTTGAGACTGACCGCAAACAACGATACGCCGAGCAGAAGCTTAAAAGAGTGCTGGTGTTCCATACTTGAATCAAGGTTGAAACCGGTATAACCCTTTGCGAGTTGTTCAGTATAGCGCTCACAATGTCCGCAACCGAAAGACCGACTGCTGTGTTCGAATAACCTTTCAAACATCTCACGGTAGGACCTCTGTAAAATGAAAATTTATTCTTCCTCTTGTCGGAGAGAAAACGATCTTGATTCTACAGACTAATTAAAACTGTTTAACCCAGAAGCGTGAGTGTCCATTATTTTGAAAGCACACGGGGAAAATTCTTTCAAAGAATTTTGTTCCTTACTCGTTGAATTGAAAGTAAACTTTCAATTATAAAATGAAATATTTCACACTAAATAAGTTACTCTCATAGTTAACACGTTGACCGTAACACCACCCATGCGGGTGACACGTGGGTGACAATAATTTTTACTGAGGAATAAATTAATTAATTCTGAAAGCAAGGTTTTGGAGAAAATTAGTGTAAATAGAATCGGTAAATTCTAAAGAGGTAGCAAAAATAAGTACTACATTTTTAATTGTATAATAACAAAATTTCAACCTCGCAGGAATTTTCACGACATATAAGGCAACGAGGAAAACTAGCAAACTCGACTCACAGTCTGACGACTTCCTTGGATATCTCGTACCACCTCTCCTCGTCCGTTTCCAACCCGATATTCGGCAGGATATCGCGAAACTGGACGCCCGCGACGTTCACTCCCGACCAGAGTGGAACTAGGAAACGTTCAACGTTTACACAGGCCCGATACGTAACGGCTGGCTTTCTCCTCCGTTAAATCGCGCAAGAAAACGGATCACGGCGCCGTAAGTTCTCATTGTCGTTTTAAACATGGACGATCCCGAACTCACCCTGGCTGTCCCCATGTTCGCCGACGATGTAACCGTGAACCGAGCTGGGCGCTATTCCTAGACGATCGGCGATCAGGTAACGAAACCTCCCCGAATCGAGGTGAGTACCACTTCCGATAACTCGACTGACCGGTAATCCGCTCACTTTCCAAGTTACCCACGACAAAATGTCAACTGAAAGTAAAAGTTCCCTTTTCTACTCTCGGCACGGAATTGTTCGCGAACGACAATTCCTCCGTCCATTGATCCTTTCTATTCCCGTTAAACGCGTCTTTGTAAACGCGGAACGCAACCTGGGTTACTGACGACCAGGAACACCGCGTGCGGACTGTACCCAACCAGAGTCGGTACTATGGTCTTCAGGATCTCCGAGTTTCGTTGCACCAGGTCCAGACGCGATTCACCCTTGACCTGTCGCACCCCCGCGGCTATGATGATCACCCTCGAGTTGCTCGTTATGCAGAAGTCTGAAACAATCGTTGAGTATTAGTATATCGTTAGTAGAATATTTGGTCTTATTTTGCCATACATCAGTGTTGTATCGGGTTGTCTGGTACCTATAAAAATGGTACTTATATAATTCAATAAATATATATAAACATGTTTCTTAAAAATTGCCACGAACTGTCTGGACAACCCCTAAAATTGTGATACGTGAAGCTCGTTTACTCCTCACAGACTTGAAAATTCATTGAAAATTCATCGCGAGGAAATCGATTTGGGAATTAGTATATCTAAAGTAAACTGTATTTTACCTGTGTCGAAGTCAATACGTGGATCTCCTATGAACACCGACCCGTGGCAATAATCCATTCCCTCCCCTTCCAGCTTCTTTGGGAATGCATCCACCATTGCCACGTGCGCCGACATTTTCTAGAATCAAGCAACAGAAAAATCACGCAAAACAAACTGTTTTCCGTCTTCGCGAATGCAGACCGTGCGTGTGGACGTTTTGTCTAGCTGATAACATATTTCCGCGGCTATTTGTATCGCACGCATAATCGCCAGGCTTGGCTTTCCACGTGCGACGTGCATGAACTTTCATTCGAGCTCGAAACTCAAACAGGGGAGTTGTCAAAATATTGTAGTTCGAGATATTTTATTTTGCATTACGTTTATTTATTAGTATCCTAATTGGTACTATGTTTTACAGAAATTAGCAGTGTGTAATATAATTTCACCGGTTTACACTGTTACCTGAAATAAAATTGAGTTTGCACAGGCTACGCCGACCATACCGGAACCTACGATCGTCACTTTGTGACAGCAGTCCCTCACTGGCTCTGAAAATTTGCACAGCAACTCTTCCTTCAAGCATGCCGGTCTGAAACGTAAGGATTCGATTTTTCTGACACGCTGAATCTCGTTTCCTCTGCTACTCGGTTGTAACGTACAAAATGTCCGCCCTTTGGATCAGAAGTAATTGTGTTTGTTATAATAATCGTCCTTGAATCAAGAAACATTTGGCCTCAAATTACAAGACTTTCAAGTTTGTATACAATTTTTGGATTTTCGGTTTTATTTGACAGTGTTATTCTTTAGTAAACTATTTAAGGGAGGAAAAAATTCTAAACTGATGTCATTCGTGACTGTCGAACAATTTAAATTTAAACTACAAGTGAATCAATGAACACGACGACTTCGTTATTCCCTCGAAATAAAAACGTTCGGCGAGGTCTAGAGTTTACTTTCAATCTCACAAAGGCCTTCATCCTGGTAGAGGACATTTTATATGCGATAACCTAATGTTTCATCGTTGCTAAAAAACGAAACGATTGGTGGACAAGCCTGGTGGTCATTAGTGCACAAAGTGGATCGCTTACACGAAACTGACCGCTCTCTGTAAATCGGATCCAGCCGTGGCGTCTTTGCCAAAGTCAGCGGAAGCGAATTTCTCCGTCTTCTTGCTGCCGAGGATCTCCGATAAAATCGTCGGAGGCAGAGCGCGTCGAGGGTAGCTCGAATACTTTAAGCTCCTTCTCGATGTCACGTTCGCCGTATACCTGAGACATTTCAGCAACGTGGGGGTCGACAGCATGCGCGAAAGTAAAACCATTGCTCCTGTCACTCGATGATTTTGCGGATCGCGATCGTTCCCGTGGGAAATGTCACATCGCATGCAATTGATCCACAGTTGACAGGAAAGAAGGCGCTGGCGATCATAACCCGTTCATGCGAATCGCCATTGCTTCAGTTCGCCAATTGTTAAACAATCCATGGTTACAGGACTTGAACTGTTTAAACCGTGGAGGATCTTTCGTAGGAAAAGATTAATCATTGAATTTCAGACTATTGGTGAATCGAAATTATTTGAGTAACTTGATGCTTGGTTACTTTATGTTTTGAGACTTCTTTAGGAGGAAAAAGGTCTTGGAAGAACATCAGTATACTTGAGGTTGGAAAAGGAGTACGCTCTAAAATTAATTGGTGTGTTTTGGAGCGTAACGTTGGTAGTCTTTGAAGTGTATAATTGTAGTAGTATGGGTGCCAGGTATTAACGTGATACATTATCTATCCGAAAGGTTCTTTATATTTTCCATCTCTGTTCTTGTTTGTCTGAAAAAGCTACCTCAATAAATAGTCACTACCTTCGCTAGCAAATTTAAACAATTATTAACTTCCTAATCTACTTCGTATCTACTCTTCACGCCACTGGCAGCACAACAATTAAAGGAGCGAATAATTCACCACCTAAAATACTCATAACGTTAATTTATTAAAATATTCTTATAAACATACAAGAAACGGACGTATGTTCATCAACAGGAAACGTTCAGACGAGGTTCATGGTATCAAGATTGTACGAAAACGCCTAGTCAATCAATGTTAATACTATGAGATACGTTATTCAAAATTTGCTAAATTTGTATTATACTTTTACACAGAGCACCATGTAAAAATAGGAGAATAACTTGAAGTATTTGCCGTTGACTGACTTACGATTGCTCGTGTTTGGTGTCTTTTGTACGTCGATTTAGTAGTTAAGTATCTTATTCCGTATTTAAATAACAAACGTTCACATTCATCGTATTAGAATACTGTCACGTAAAATCACTGGTAAACATTACAAATCTTTACAAATGTAAAGCTTTAACAACAACGAACACAAGATAATACTTCGTAGTAACACACACACATACACTGCACCAAAAGTATCGTGCGTAATCGAGCGCGCCATAGCGTTCGAAACACGTTTGGCGATTTAAATACGTTTCAAATATGACATGTACATATATATGTATACGTATAAAAAAGAATAAGTAACGAAAAGTAAGTAGTAACGAAGGATGCCCGTTTTTTGTGCATATAAAGAAGAATCAAATAACGAAACGGGCGTGAAATTCAATTTATCGTCACGAAATGATTATTTCGGCACCCAAAATTCCAACGAAACTTCTAAAACTTCAAGTCTTTCTGAACTTCGTACATCTTTGCAGCCGATTCTTGCAGACAAGCGACTTCCTGTTCTGTTAGCTTCTGTTTTACAATACACGTTACACCTCCTTCGCCCAAAGTGCACGGTAGCGATAGGAACACATCCTCCTCGATCCCGTGGAAACCCTGCGAAGTAATTACAATCGTTAATTACGAATCGTTCATCGTAACGTTATCATATCGATTTATGAAAGACATTTTTCATACATTCAGCGTATGTTTATTATTTGAATTCATCGTAAGCGTATTAAGTTCATATGGTACTTGCAACATTCTTGTAAAAATTTAATAACGTATGTTTAAAAAAAAAAAGAACAAATGTTCAATGCATACAATTACGGAGGGAAAAGAAAACAGGTAACAGATTATCGACTTACGGTAACCAAGGTAGACACAGCGTGAACTTGATTAGAATTTCGCAATATCGCCGAGGCGAGGTGCGATACGCTCAAACCGATCGCCCACGACGTGTAGCCTTTCAGTTTGATCACCTCGTAGGCGCTTTCGACCACCTGCTTGTGGACACAGCCCCACTGCTCCTCGTCCTTGTCGGTACCGACGTGCTCGTTCAGATCGCGCAATCTTACACCTGCGACGTTCACTCCCGACCATACCGGCACTGAAAATGTGTGTCGTTGAAAAATACTTCATCGAAGCATATCGAGGAATAGAAACGCGATCGCGAGTCTTTTATCGTAAGCAGGGCTCCGATTTGTAAGCGCAGAAAATTGGGACATTTTTACGAATTGCAGTTTCTGAAACCTCGATTTTTGGAGGCTTAAAATCGCTGAAGGTAATGGTAAAAATATTTTCTTTTGTCAACACTATCCGCCTATCCTTTTTCTAAAGTTATCCACTACTCTCTACTTCTAAATTTGTCTAATCACAACATCAAATTTGGATGCCATCTAATAACTTCTTTCCAAGACACCCTTATCTGATACTGACCCATTCGATCAGCCAACGAATCAGAATTATTTTATCTGGAGATTCGCAACTTTCTCCTTATCTCCGATAAGAGAGAATTATCAATCAGCTGTGCATCTACGGGTAATCTCTGTTTAAAAAAAAACATTTCAACGAACCGCTCGTATCGCCGTGTTCTCCAATAATCCAACCGTGACAGGAAGTGGGCGCGACGTTGAGTTTCTGGGACAACAGAAATCGGAATCGTGCCGAGTCCAAATTGGTACCGCTTCCGATAACACGGTTCTTAGGTAGACCGGAGTGTTTCCAAGCCACGTAGGTCAAGATGTCCACCGGGTTGGACACGATCAGTAGGATCGTGTTCGGGCTATATTTGACTAACTGGGGAATGATGCCTCTGAAGATGTCTGTATTCCGTTGAACCAGGTCCAGCCTCGACTCTCCTTCTCTTTGACGAGCACCAGCCGTCACGATGCAGAGGCTCGAGTTAGCCGTGGCCGCGTAATCCGTACTGGCGTTAATTTTTGCGTTCTTCAAGAAGGAGCTGCCGTGCTGCAGGTCCATCATCTCCCCTTTCAGCTTGTCAGCCATAACGTCCACGAGCACCACTTCGTTGGAAACGTGCTGCAACGATACAGGAAATTTTATGAAAAAGACGAACTGGTTTGAGCTCTATTCCGTGTACGATCATCGATAAACGAAGAATTATTGGGGTCTATAGGTACTTGGCAGTATTTTTTTTTTTTTTTTTTTTTTTTTTTTTAATTAGAAACAGAATACTAGAGATTAATAAATTATAAGGACATCGTCCATTTAATGATACGGTTATCAAATTATAAGAACCCACTTCGTATCTGCATTATTTTACAAACGATTATAAAATTCCAGAAATCAAATATTTCTCTTTTGAAGAGAACTAGTTCACTGCTTTAGTGATTTTGAAAATGTTGAATAGTACTCTAGAAGGTGGCAAAAGAGGTTCGTGTATCGATGATGAGTACGTTAGGTAGTATTCTTATAGTTCGTAGGTAATTGCATCATTCTTACGCTTGTCAGGATGCTGATGGCGCAAGCCATTCCGACTTGACCGACGCCGACTATGGAGACCTTGTTTCTGCCGGTGGAGATCGGCTCTACCACCGTGCATAAAAGTTTGTCTTTTAGTGAAGTCATTGCTCTGAAAGTAGATATTATTTTGTAAGATGTTTGTTAAATTCTAAGAACATTGACGTTGTAGGTTTTTCCAAGGTCATAAGGTCACGAAAGTCACCCTCAATGTTAAACACAAGCATGCATAAACTCAATATTAGACGAAAATGGAGTGATCTCGCAAATATTCGAATTCTTTCTGCAGTGGAGTAGTTCAAGGTCGAAAAGGTCATAGAGGTCATCCACTTTCCTACTCGAAGACATGCGCGAGAATACACCCCCTCCCCAAAAGAGTCCAATTTTCTGCTCCAATTCTATCTAGAAAGGCTTTAAAAATAAAAAAAAACACGATACCAACAATTCCATGGAATAATCCAACGATAAGAATCCACGAATATAATTTCTTTACAGTTACTTTTACTGTCTACCGATATCCGCGCAAACACAAAAGACTTCCTATTTCACGGTCTTATCGTTTTGTTTACAATTTCCCAATCTACATGAATGAGTTGCAGGTTGCAGATAAAGCGCACTACGCGCGTGTACTACGTATCCCACGAGATGCCACTACTTGTACAAGAAGCACGTGCACCCGGCAAGCCGGCATCCCAAGCAAATTCCGGAAATGCAGTTCGAGATATGCAGTTCGAGTATGAGGAAATATTGACAAAGGTTACGGATACACTGACAATTAACATTCGCAATTATGGATGATCATTCGACGATCGTCGATCATTTACGACGTGCAGAGGCAATCAAGATCAAACGTGCGACCCCAATTACGCGGCGTCCATCGTCATGGCGTTTGACCCTGATAAATACAACGGGAGGGAGTAAACGACGAATTTACTGCATTCCACGACATAAATGCACCATAACGGTCACTCTTTACTTGACCCATATACCATAACTAACTCTTGTTACGGTTAATCCACATTTCCATCCCCACTCGAATCACTCTTAGTACGACGAGTAAAAATACCTACCCTAACCCCTTTAACGTGTCTTTTCACCGAATAAAACTGTAACACTACACACACGATTAGCACAGAGTGCAATTCAGAGTGCAACAACGTTCGTACGTCCGACTGGTCTGACAGCTCACAGACTTCTGTCTGCAGGGGTGACCTTGTCCCCACTTTTTATACCTCCCATGGGTTCGCCGTGGTCGCGATGATGAAACAGGGAACGCAGGCGTGCTTCGCGATAAACCTAAATTCGCAGCCGCCTTTCCCACGAATTTCCACGCCGCTCTTGCGTCACGTGGCGACATTTTTCTTATAACCGCGAATGGTTAATGCGTACAAATGAATCGGCTACGTGACGTGGCGGAAACATACGAAAGTGCATGTGTAAAAGATTTTTCGAAACGAAAGCGAGACGCTTGCGCACGCGTACACGGTCGGCGAGCGTTCATCGATCCCGCCGTCACTTTCTTCTGGATCCCCACCGGTCGCCCAATAAAAGTTAGCCTACAGGATGTGTTTCGTTCAAGGGGGACTAAAAATACGTATCACGAGGGACTGGTGGCATGTTGCGATGGTTACTTTATTTCGATCAGATTACGTGGTTAAATTTGGAGCGACGTTTCCGATGGAAACGCTTCGATTTCGGTGACAATTCTCCGATGCTGTAGTCGACAGCCATCAGAAAAATCCAATAATCCGTACGAGTCGTTTTCAAGAGCAAGGTTGTCCTTCGCAAGGTCAACCTTCCCAAGTATACGTTCACTTGATCTAGTAATTCGATTACCTTGCGATTGTAATTTGTATTTAATTTTTATTTGTTTTTCCATGGTCTACTTCAAGGGCAATTAATAGTGCTTGTACGAATGAACACATTTTGCATCGATAGAAGTCACGAATCATGTGTAAAAGATAGTATAAATTAGGTGTTTTAAAATATTAAGATGTCGAAGGCACGAGTGAAGAATTTTTGGGCCACGTGTGGCCTGATCAATTTTTATAGTTTATTCATGTTTTGTAATGTTCGGATAATAGGTCCTACTTTAGTTATAAATAGTCGAGTAATGAGCGATACACTTGTAAAAAATTTGCAGAATTACTGTATTTATATTCCGTATTTATTTTTGTATTATCTTGTGGCAATTTTCTTTTTGTGCTGAAATCAATCGTTTAGTGATAATACGTTCCCGGGTAAATTGAAATGCATTTTCTTAATTGCAACCACTTAATTGTGAAAGAATATTTCACTTGTTTATGAACATATGTTAATTGCAAGTAAAATAATGAATTTAAAGTCGCGCAGTAAACAACATTTCCATTGTAATCTGGGAAAAGAAACTGATCTTTCAGCTGGTAATGAATAAGTACTTTTGCAGGAGTTTTAATATTACGACTGGCAAGGATAAATTTCTACGTAGAGTGTAAATATGTTTTTCAGAGGTACGTTTACGTTATTTAAATTTTCAAGTCATTTGATGTACCACCAAGTATTTATATTAAATTTATTTAATTTAATTTTTATAACGTTCCTAGAACATTTACTAACACAAAAATAATTTTATACAACAAATCCGTTAACTACGTATAAACAAACTGTATGTCGTGGCCATTGAAATATTCGGAGTAGAGTGTCGCGTGGAGCACGACACAGGCCAATCGTCACACACACACAACAACGTAGACCTGTCGCGAAGAATGGACGCGTCACGCATACGTGACGCATGATAGCGGACTTGTCAATTTACCGACTAAACAATCCAAAAGTCGAACAATAATTTTACATGACAATTATTTATACAATCCAATGAGAGAATGTTTTCGTGTGGGCAAGGAAACTTAATCCCCCCTTATCGCAATCGAAACGAGTTTTTATTAAACAATTTCAGATTAAGATACGCGTACTCACCTCAGATAATTATTTCGTCGAAGAAACTCGGTGGAAATCCTGGACTGAGTTGACAATTCGGCCAACAATCGACCTTTCACCAAGAAATTCATTACTGGCGTGCTACCACGTTAGTTAAGACACAGGAAATAACGGAACCAACTCGAAAGACCACTCGCCAGTTGCTCCGTCGCATCGAGGGGAATTTTTCCACTTCCTTCCACCTTAGCGATTCTCGTTTCCGAAAGCTTTCCTCCCTATCCAAACTGCTTGCGTCACCTGTCCGATACAATACCGATACAATACCGCAATGGCATCTTTTTTAAAAACACTTATCGCGCTGGTAAAGTTGTTCTTTATCTGTAACTATAGTCGTCGCTATCTCAACCGATGCATTATCAGCCGTCTAGTTCGCGCGAGCAACAGCTCGCTACCAGGAAAAGAAGATTGCCTCACGTTACCGCGAAATTCCATAAGGTTGAGTCTTACTCGAGAATACCGCAGACGGTGCAACCGGGAATGACGCAACTAGACTCCGCGTCTCTGTAATTTCGTGAAGCTCTACGTGAGCATGGTCACGATCCTTTCCGACACTTCTAACAGGATTGCCCGCTTCTCTCGCACCTGACCATTTCTCTAGCCCCTCTAACTTCCTCCTCTAGCTTTGGATAGAGTTATAGGTGTAGGATGCTCCTAGTGGAGGAACGTGAGAAAAGACACGTCGGTGTTGGTTCCTCGAGTTCGATGCAGACGAGTCGTACGCAACCGATTTATTGTCTCTGACGCAATTGCTGCCAAAAGCGTGAGATACGATGACAGGTCGCGTTTCATAGCCGTTTGGCCATTTCGTGGTCTGCTCGCGTCCTGCTTGTTTAGATCTAAATTGGCCCTTGTCTTGGGCCTTCAATTCGTTTGGATGGCACGTTTATCATTCGTTTTTCTGGAATGGAGTAATTGAGTTGATGTGAAATTGAGCGGGTTGTTAGCTTCGTTAATGTACTTTAAAGAGATACCGTTTTTGTTATTCAAAGTGCGACGTAATAATAAATTATGTAAAGTGCGAAGAAAAGTTAAAGACTAGTTTTCCTGTCACGACGATCGATAAACTGTTACTTTAAATAAAAGTATTTAGTTTTTCACTCTTCTTTCATTTTCTTCTCAGTAGCGTAACACATGGCCAGGATCTATGTAGTTCTCCGTTTGAAAGGCAAAGGCATGTAATTTACAGGTTCACGCTTTCTCGAACCTAACGGTAATCTTTTTTAGTCCCAAATATTTCAATGTCATGGAACGCACCGTCCATTTGAAGACTTCTAGATACACTTTGTCTGTATCGTAAAAACAGAATGTATATTGTGTTTAAGAAGAGCATTTAAGAAGAGTGTGTCATTCTAAAAAAAAAATTATTTCAACGAGCAATAGACATCATACGTACAGTAAAAATTCTTCCTTAACTTTTTCTTTTTTTTTGCTTCACTTATCCTTTCTAAAACTAACTTCCAGATTGAACAGAAATTCTTACGTCAGTAATTTCCAGATGGAGTACAAACCGAATATGGAATTAAATAAAAATTAAAACGAAATAAACAGACCAAGCTTATTCTCAAATTACTTCTAGATCAAAGAAGATTCTTAATTTATTTTCCATTGTTGTTTCCCATAAAATCCAACGAACATCGAGCCCACGATCTGTACTCACGCCTATATTTATCCCACTTTCCAATTTACCTGTACATGATGAAATTATAATATTCAAAAGGTACTGTTCTCAGTACTCTTCGAATTCGCGTTTAATTTTAGTGTCAGGATCGCGTAAACGCTCGGGGATGAAATTGATACTCACCGAGTAACGGTGTTCGGCGATGGTGGATTCTATAATTATAATCATTAGCATTACCGTCCGTCGAGCGTTCCGTACGACGAAATTGACGAGAAAATTAAAGAGAGATTTAATAAGGGAATTAAGCACCGATTCGTTATACGCACGGCACTTCTGTGCGCAGGCTTAAAAGTCAAATCGAACAGCGTCGCATATCCACCCGTGTCGTCGAACGACGCGCGCAAATGATTCCCGTATGAAGATGGCAAGTATAATTGCAATGCCCAAGAGCCGACGTCTCGAATTAGCATAACCGTATAAACGCGGTACTGAATATAACCGTACGTGCCTCCTGGATACTCGCGCACACGTGACTCTGCACGAACGATTCGCAATCAATAATCCGTTACGTACGCTGGCTCTATAAAGTAAATATAGTACACCGATATTCATTCATTCGCGGAAGTTCGCAATCTTATCGTCATGCGTCACTAAATCGCGTTCAATCTATGTTCTATCCAGTTCGTTGCTTTTCTATTAACGCAGAGAGGTATACTCGAAAATGTTTACGTGAGATTTTAATTAACACGCTGAATAAGACAGTAATACTCGTGAAAATTTCTAAGAAACGAAAGGTTTTCCAAAGAAGGGCTTTAGGGTTTCGTTTTTCATTAATGAACTACGCCTGTCAGCGTACTCGTGGTGGACACTGAAATTACATCGTCTTTCACGTGGAATTGCATGAAAATCAGGTATATTTCGTGCCATTTATGTTTTATTAAATAACAGAATCCTGAACGAACTTTTGGAAGATCCTTTACGTAAACTAACATTTATCTTAATTACGTAGTATCGCGCCACCCATACCCAAAAGGAATCAAACAAGAGTATAACAAGGGATTGGTCGTGTAGGTATAGCGGTCAACTGTAAATCCGAGGATCGTGGGTTCGAATCTCCGTTCCTGATTTTTCTCTTTACTCCTACAATTATTTAAATTAACTATTTATTTTTCTAACAAAATCAAGACTCACGAACCTTGGCTCCCATGTTCTTCTGATTCCATATCTCCAAAAAAGCAGACATTGCACTTGGCTTGCATCGCTTCGACAACGAGTTATGTCCACGAACGTATTAAGATTTTTAAAGGACGAGAATCGTGACAATTGACGAAAAGTTTCTTACTCGTGACACTTCCTGGAAGAAGTCTATGAACAAATCTAATCTGAACAGACGTTACCAGATGAAAACGAAACGACTCACGAGAGGCAAGTTTCCGAGAATCGATCACGCGGATGTTCTTTTACGTACGTGACTCTGTAAACGTACATCCTCGTAATATCTTCTTCTCGCCTCTGCAACTGCTTTATCTGTCATTGTTAAAGTACTAGGTGTGGAAGAAGCATTAGCCCGCAACAAAAAGGCAGCCTCGCACTTTAGAAGAATGACATTAAAATGACTCTCGCAC